GGTGCAAGTGGGGGACCAGTTACGAGGCTTGGCAGGACCCCACAAGAGGCACAATGGTTGACTCCAGCGAAGTTGGAGAGGTTCAAGTGGTGTTTGGATGGTGGAAGTGATAGGAATAGCTGAAGGATGAGATAATGACCAGAGGAAGATGTGGGTGTGGGAGAGAAAAGAAATAAGGGTGCTCTCCATTTTTATTTCACTTGAATATCTGAGTCGATGTGGTGTTATTCATTGAGAAGGGGAAGGCTACTCTGGGAGAAGCCAAGTTAGGGAGAGTTGGGTCAGGAGATAAAAGAAACTCAGGAGTTCCTTTTTTGCCATTTAAGGATGAAATGTCTATGAAACATCCAAGTGGAGATGTCAAATGAGCATACAAAGAAGTATGAGATCACAGCCTCTTATCTTCCCTCCCGTGCCCCAACCCCCAACACACAAATGGGACCATATACTGTCCCCTCTCTGCCGTTTGATTTCCTACATATTTTGAAGGTGCTCCTAAGTCAGATCCTATAGACATGACTTGTGCTTGTTAATGATTGCATAAGAATCCATAGAATGGCTATACCACAATGTTTTCAGTCATTCCCCAATTGATGAGTGCTTACTCTGTATCCTAGTTTGCCCCATCTTGCAGTGAACAGGAAGAGAAGTCTAAACCCTAGCACCCAATGTTCTTGTTGTCCCGCTTTAAACCAACTCCCATGCATATATACCCTGGAACACTGAAAGCAGGACCTGACTGAGGACATCGAGGTTGGACCGTGCACGACCTTGGAGAGAAGTCAGGTTTAGGGCCGGCCCATTTACTGTCCAGTCCTTCTCAGTCTATTCTGCTGGCTTGTCATCCTCAACCCAACTTCCACATGTTGGCATGTCTCAGGGAATTGTTGTGCACATTCCTCTCCTAACAGTACCTTCTTGAGGTGAGTCTTCCCAGTCTCGTGGCTTTAAATATTACCTGTGTCCTGTTGTCTTGATAATTCTGCTTTTGCAGCCTACATGGAGAGTGGACTTCTCCAAACCTCAGACACTTAACAAGTGCAAATAGGAACTCTTGACACACATGCCCAACTGTCTTTCTTCCTTCTCCAAACCTATCACATCGACTGCCTGTTTTCTCTGTAACTATATATAACACCTTCTTTACCAAGACTTGCAAGAAAATACTCTCATAGTAATCGTTCATGTCTTAAGTTTGTTCACCAACTGCCTTCAATCCACCAGCAAGTGATGTTTGTTCTCTTTCCAAAATATCATGAGAACCCATGCACTATTCTTTAAATTCATGTAGCCTTTCTGGGCCAAGCCACTGCCATCTCCCAAGTGGGCTACTGCAAAAGGATTCAAATTGGTCTCCCTGCTTTGCTTTGTGCCCCGCCTACTTATGGTATTTTCCACAGAGAGCAGTCAGAGAGAAATTACTGAATATAATTAGATCATGGCACTCCCTTGGTTCAGTTCTCTCTCTGGCTCCCCAGAGCTCTTTGAGTGAAAATGAAACTCCATCATGGCTCCTTCCCACTACTGCATTGTTCCCTCCATCCCCTCTCTCACTGGGCTCCAGCCACACTGGCATCCTTTCTGCCCCTCCAGTGCCCCTCTTTTCTGCTACAAGGCCAGAGGAATTGCAGTTCTCCCTGCTGGGCAGGCTTTCCCCCTGTTTCCCAGCAGAATTGACCACATATTATTGTCCTCAGAAAGGCCATCCCTGACCTCTGCCACTTCTCTTGGGTTCTAGGTGATATGTACCATATCATTTCATTTATTTCCCTGAGGGCATTTGTAGCAACCTTTAAGTGCTTTTATAATTTCTGCCATGTTTATATTCCCTGCTAGAAAATAAGTTCCTTGGATGCAGGGGCTCTCTGTCTAGAAAAATGGCTGGTACAGGGTAGCCCTCCATAAATACTTACTGAAGGGACCTCTCCCTCCCTCTACTGACACTCCACAGGGCCCTTCACTTTCGCCTCAGTTACAGCAGCCACTAGTCAGAACACTTTTGATTGCAGATGTGGCCAGGAACTGAAAAGAGGAGAAGGGTACATCACAGAAGCCTCTGTGAGAAAGGACTTGGAGAGTATTCCCCAGCTGCTCTCCTTGTCACTGGAGTAGCCCTGCTACTGTTGCTGGCGTGTCAAGGGCCTAGGAATTGTCTTCTGACAAGTTTGTGGATTCACTGACAAAGCATGACTTTACTTCACCTCTTTCTCCTACTGTTTCACCAATTTCTGCTGGCCCTGTGGGCTGGAATTCAAAGCCAGAGAAAGAGAACTTGTTGAGTTCTGGTTCTTAAATTGGTCCCTCTTGTCCCTTCTGCCTCCAAACAATGGGCTGAGAAGTTCTTCTTGTCATCCCCTGACCTCCTACCCACCAGCAATCATGGCTTCCTCCTTGGCCTCTGCCTCCTTGGGTCCCTCTTGGCGGCCACCTGGAATGGTGAGGCACAGCTCATCTGCCTCCTGCCTACAAGCAACCTAAGATTCTCAGGAGGTGGCGCCTAAGAGTGGTGACAGTGGCCACCTTGGTCAAGGCACCAGCTGCACAGCAGGCTCTTCCTAAGTCTATGTCCCTGTTCTTTGCTGGCACTAGCCCTGTCTAGGGGTAGAGGGCTTGACTTTGCATGCTGGCAAGGCACATGTCTGTATGTCTGCTTCTCAGTCTTCTTGGGATGCTTTCCAGGCAGCGATGAGAAAGTTCTCACTGCTTCACACCCCATGGTGACCCAGTCAGTTCTGAAGGTGCAGGGTTGTTCAGGTCAAGGCAATGCTGCCACCACAGAAAACAGCTTTATATACCCATGGAAGGTGGATGGACTGGAGTGAGGGGGAGGAGAGAATATGTGCTCGGCAGATGAAACTCCATGGCCACTATAGTCCAATCACATAGGGCATATAGCCCTCTGCTAGCATTTCTCTTATTTGTATGGCCAGCCCAAGCTTTAGTGGAGTGAGACATCCTGAGGAATGGCTCCATGGTTTGATCAGTTTTTATATTTGACCCCGAAGTCCACAGTTCAACGCCTGGCTCATGGTAACTGTGAAACTCCTATTTATGGAGGGAAAGGGGGAAAGGGGGGAAGAGTTGTTCTTGGAACTGGTCACATCTGACTGTCTTTTTTTTATTCTGTCAGCTCTGTCTCAGTGCTGACTGTGTGTGTGTGTGTTCATGTGTGCATACATTTATACATATATCGATGGGTTCCCCCCAAGTTTTATTGAGATATAATTGACATATAACACTATATAAGTTTAAAGTGTACAACAAAATGATTTGATACATATACATATCACTAAAATGATTACCACAAGAACTTTAATAAAAATCCATCACCTCAGTTATACTTTGTTTTCCCCTTTTAATGAGAGCTTTAAATATCTACTCTTAGCTACTTTCTGTGTTGATATTTAGTTTGTATTAAAGATCTGATCATACCAAGTCCCTCCTTGAATGTGTTGAGTGGGCCCTCTGAGCTTGGGTGTAGAGTCCAAGCATCTTAGCTTTCTTTTCAGGGCCCTCACACCTTCTAACCCCATCTTCTACCATATACCCTTGGAGATCATGAGCTCTGTCCACATCAGATGATTAGGCATGATGAGACGTGACTATGTATGTCCTAGCACGCTATAGGGCCTTGGACACAGACTAATCCCTCTGTCTCTGCTAATGGAATGCCTTCCATTCTGCCTCAACGTGCGGGGCGGCTACTCATCTTTCAGAGGTCACCTTGGGGGTTTACTCTTCTGTGCAGTTTTTCTTGATTCTCACCAGAAGAGGTTATTGGGTGGGTCCTCCTTTCTGGAAGAAGTAGGACTCTAGCCTCTGTTGCACTCTAATGGTTGCTTGCTTGCCTACCCTCTCAACATTTGGCCTTGTGTGGCCTCTCTGCTCCAATACACATTGTTCACCTTTCCTCACCTTGCCCCACACTTTCAACACATCAACATTCACTACTCAAGTATCACACTGCCTGTCTCTAAGCCCCCAGTGCCAAGTGGTGGGTAAGGCTTCCCTAAATATTAACTGGTGAACCGGGAAGAGACACCTCATCCTAGAGAGATTTCTGGTTTTGTTTTTGTTTTGAACATGGATGTGCTGTTTGTGGTTCACATTGGGAATATCATCAAGTTGAGGGCAGAGACAAGAAGAAACAAATGCCTGGCACTGGACCAGGTCCTGCCCCGGCTCTTGATTTGACTTTCCTCACCCATTATGGAGGATGGCACTAAGAATCAAGAGTGCTCTTGATTCTTCCCCTGCTTCCAGGCTTCATGAATTGAGGCTGAATGGTTGGGAGGAGTTGGTGGGCTGAAGAACACCCAGGTCCCTAGTTCTCCCATAATCTGGAGCAGGGACAGGGTTTCCAGCCCACACTGTCTGCTGCCAAGGTCAATCTCAAAACCGGTCCATTTCCTCTTGCTTCAGACCCCTGTATATCCCTAGGCTCCATAAATATTTGTGGCATGGCAGTATGAATAAATGAGTACGTGTTCTTGTGTTCTTTATTTCTTCCGCGCAAGTGTTGTAGAGGAAGGAAAGAGCTGGAAAACGGGGAGGAATCTCTGAAAAAATGGGTCAGCAGCCTGCAGGGCTGGAGGGGGAGAGTGTCCCATTAGCCCCAGCTCCAGTTCAGAATAGGAGTTGTTGCCTTGGTGGCGGTAATGTTGGGGAGAGTGTGTGCGTTGAGGTGGGGAAGAACCAACCCCTAAAGGCGAGAAACCCATTTTTGCTTGGCTTTGTTTAGGCCGGGCAAGTGTTTTCTCAATGCCACCCACCTTCTCTTGCAAGGTGCTTGATTTAATCATTTAAATGTTCTATGGGGAGAGGAAGGATAAAACAAAACTCCCTAAATCTATGTCAGAGTCCCTTGGTCCACATGGAACCCTTTCCCTGGCTTCCTCTTCATACACATCCAGTTGATCGAGAGGCTGAGAACCCACACTCCCTCCCGCCAACACCAAGCCTCCCGCTCCCGCCCCCTCCCACCGCCCGCTGCCCCGCAGCCCCGCAGCCCCGCAGCCCCGCAGCCCCGCAGCCCCGCAGCCCCGCAGCAGCCACAGGGGGAACCAAAGAGACAGAAGCCTTCCCAGCTGCCCGGACCACAGACGCCAACACCCCCCCGCCCCACACCACACGCCGCCCGCTGGCGCCCAGCACGCTAACCCACGACCGAGCGGCGGCGGCAGCAGCGGACTGCGGGCTTCGGGCTGCGGTGACTCGCACCGGCGCGCTCCTGGCAGCGCTAGCCATCCCAGGTGACTGGGACTCGCTAGATCGGCTGGCTCGGGTTCCTCCGCCCCAGCTCGCGCCCCCTGCCCGGGTTCCCGCGCCCACCTGCTTTCCTGCGTTCTCCCGCCTCTCACCTCCGTCCCCCGCCCTCTCAGGCTCGCGGGAAGGGAGGTCGCGGCAGCGGCCCGGCGGCACCGGCGACCGTGGCGACAGCGGCGACAGTGGCGGCAGCAGTGGCGGCGGCGGCTGCGGCGGCGGCGGAGGCTGCGGCGGCGACCGTGGCAGAGGCGGTGGCGGAGGCCTCCGTGGCGGAGGCGGAAGCAGAGGTGGAGGCCGAGGCCTCAGCAGAGGAGGCAGTGGCGGAGGCCACCCTGGGGGAGGCGGTGGCAGCCCTGGCGGAGGAGGAGGCGGAGGCCGCCCTGGCAGCAGCGGCCGTGGCGGCGGTGGAGGCCAGCGAGGCCGAAGCCGCCGCCGCCGCCGCCGCAGCAGAGGCTGCGGCGCCCGCCTTGGGGGAGTCGGATGCGGATGCTGTTGCGGAGGTGGAGGCGGCTGTAGCGGCGGCGGCCGCTGCCGCCGCAGATGCAGATGCAGAAACGGGCGGGGGCTCCGAGGGGAACCCGGACTTTCCTATGGCCTCGCTGTACGTGGGCGACCTGCACCCTGAGGTGACAGAGGCAATGCTGTATGAGAAGTTCAGCCCGGCCGGGCCCATCCTCTCCATACGCCTTTGCAGGGACAAGATCACCCGCCGCTCGTTGGGCTATGCGTATGTCAACTACCAGCAACCGGTGGACGCCAAGCGGGCCTTGGAGACCCTGAACTTTGATGTCATCAAGGGCAGGCCGGTACGCATCATGTGGTCCCAGCGGGACCCCTCGCTCCGCAAGAGCGGAGTGGGCAACGTCTTCATCAAGAACCTGGGCAAGACCATCGACAACAAGGCTCTGTACAACATCTTCTCGGCGTTCGGCAACATCCTGTCCTGCAAAGTGGCCTGCGACGAAAAGGGGCCCAAGGGCTATGGGTTCGTGCACTTCCAAAAGCAGGAGTCCGCGGAGCGGGCCATAGATGCGATGAATGGCATGTTCCTGAACTACCGCAAAATTTTCGTTGGGAGATTCAAGTCGCATAAAGAACGAGAGGCCGAAAGGGGAGCCTGGGCCAGGCAATCCACCAGTGCTGACGTCAAGGATTTCGAGGAAGACACCGATGAGGAGGCCACCTTGCGATGAAAACATCCCAGGAGCGAGCCAGCCAGCAGAGCCAAACCTTGGCTCCCACCCGGTTTACAACCCCACCCCCATCCCATTCCCCCCAACCCACCAGCAGTGTATTGTATTGGGAGTGCAGGTCTCTCTCTCACCACTTCCTTCCTCCTTCCTTCTCTCCACCTCTGCCTTCCTGTTTGTCCCTCTCTGTCTCTCTTGACTTCCCCCTCCCCTCCCCTCCCCTCCCCTCCCCCCACACCCACCTTGGGTGTTGTGAATAATCTTGCTAATCTGTGCCACTTGATAGTTAAAGGCTGCCTCTTCTCCTTGTGGTTTGGTTTAAAAAGCACTTTCTCTCTTTGTTTATTGCACAGGTGATGCAATGTCATGGTAGAAACATCAGGAAGGAGAAGGAAATCAGATGAGGGAAAAACCAAGAGAGTAATTGCTCCCCATGACCCTACTACCCGGAGACAACCACTTTTACTATTTTGGTGTGCTGTTTTCCAGGCTCTCTTATCTCCTCCTCTCTCTCTCTCACCCTTCCTCACCTCCACCCTGCCTTCCCTTTTAACACAGTGTTATAGAATGGTTCATGTATGTGGTGTTTCTTAACCTGCTTTTTCAAAAACTAAAACCAAACAAATGTCAACCCATTGAACTTCTTTCCCTGTTATTCAACAGGCTTGAGAAAGGTCATCTTCAGTGCCTGCAGAGTGTATCTATGGACCCCAACATTTCTGTAATCATTGCCGCATTGTTGGACATTCAGGTGGTGCCTAGTTCTTTCCTTGTGTTTAAACCCAGCACTGTGTATACTCTGATGAGTGAATTCTTCCTTGTCAAGCCAAATCTTTGCTAGCGTACAGGATGTTCTTAATTGTGGACTTGCAGGATCCACATGTGGACATTTTAAAGACTGTTCCTGTGTGTTGCCAAATGGCCCTTTCATAAGCATTGTACCAATTTGTATTCATGCCAGTCACCTCAAGTAGTAAAAATAGTATGCCCATTTCCCCTGCATAGTCTCCTGGTCACTGTAATTGGTGTGTGTGTGTGTGTGTGTGTGCATGTGCGCACACACACATGTGTGCGTGTGCATGCGTGTGCCTGTGTCTTGGCCCACTTGATGATTGTTTTGCTGAATTTAAATACTGTTTATCACCTCCTTTCCCTGAGCCCACTTTCTGCTCTTTTCCCCATTCTCAGAAAAATAATCCAGCTTCATTGTAGGAAAAAAAATAAATCACAAAGCAGACAAGTCAACAGAAGAAAATTAATGTCACAAGTAATCAATCTTAATGATCACCCATACCTCCCTGAATCATTCATCTACACCTGCCCAGTATTTTTCATGTGATATATATGTGAATTGTAATGTATATACTGTTTCATTATCTGCTTTTTCACAATAAATATATGATATAGATAGATATAGATGTATAGATAGATATTATTGAACTTCTTTTCATGTCATTAAATATTCTTCTAAAATAGTTTCCGTGGTTGTTTAGTATTCCAGGGAATGGGCGAGATAGAGGAACAGATAGGTATATACATCTGTATCCATATGTAGATATAAGTAAGTAAGTGTAGTCGCTCAGTTGTGTCCGACACTTTGCGACCCTGTGGACTGTAGCCCACCAGGCTCCTCTATCCATGGGATTCTCCAGACAAGAACACTGGAGTGGGTTGCCATATGGGCATATTTGTTTTCACTAGTTCTTCATCATTGAACATCTGGATGGCTTCTTTGTTTTTTGTTTTCTTATTCAAATCCAAATTACTTAAACCATAGTGCAGAAACCTTGGTTACATTTTAGATTTTTTTCCTGAACAAACATTGTCAAAAGAAGAATTGAAGAGTTCAAGTTTTGAAATAATTTTGGGGGGATCATTATTAAGTAGCTATTCACAAATATAGTTATCAATTTACCCTCATCAAGTACAACATTGTGAGAACACCTGGAAACCTGGACAATTTTCTGGACTTGCTTTGCAATCATTTCTGTACTCTTCCAATATTTTATCAGGGTAGCTGTAGTTTGTTTTTATTTATTTTAAACATTTATTTTTATACAGATAATACAGCATTTTTTAGATTCTATATATATGTGTTAATATAAGTATTTGTTTTCCTCTTTCTGACTTACTTAACTGTGTATAACAGGCTCTAGGTTCATACACCTCATTTCAACTGACTCAAATTCATTCCTTTTTATGGCTGAGTAATAGTCCATTGTATATGTGTACCGCAACTTTACCCATTCATCTGTTGATGGACATCTAGGTTGTTTCCATGTCCTGCATACTATAAATAGTGCTGCAATGAACATCAGAGTACATGTGTTTTTTTGAATTATGGTATTCTCAGAGTGGTGGCTCTGTAGTGGGACTGCTGATTCATGTGGTATTTTTATTCTTATTTTTTTAAGGAATCTCCATAGTGGTTATATCAATTTACATTCCCACCAGCAGTGCAAGAGGGTTCCCTTTTCTCCACATCCTCTCCAGCATTTATTGTTTGTAGAATTTTTGATGACGGCCACTGATGAACCTATTTGCAGGGCAGGAATAGGGACACATATGTGGACACAGGAGTGAAAGGGGAGGGTTCAATGAATTGGGAGAGTAGTACTGACATATATACAGTACCATGTATAAAATAGATAGTGGAAAGTTGCTGTACAATGGAGGGAACTCAGCTTGGTACTCTGTGACAACCTAGAGGGGTGGGATGGGAAGTGGGAGGAAGGCTCTAGAGGGAGTGGATATATGTATACTTATGACTGATTCATGTTGTTGTACAGCAGAAACTAACACAATATTGTAAAGAGTTATCTTCCAATTAAAAATAAAATTTAAAAAAGGAGAATACAAAATTATTAATAATTCTAAGTTGATAACAGAATTCACTTGGTCATCTGGGAGCAAACTTTGTGACTTCAGGTTAAATTCTCTCTCTCATTGAGTATTCAATGAATGCACTGGTTGAGGTTTAAGCCCAAATATGCTATATTATAAATAATTTATATATGAGCATGATCATATTTTAATATTTGATTCTCACTAAATCTCTGCTTTCTGAGAGATTAACAAGCAGATAGATTTTAACAGTGTCCATGTCTTGCATTCCCAGCACTTTTCATGAACCTAGTGCATAAAAGATTCTCAATAATCGCTGGCTGAGTCAAAAATAAAACATAATAGAAGCCTTGTTTAATTGGTAAGAAAAAGTAAAAATCACTCCTAATTCTACCACTTGACACAAAGGAAAACTGAAGCACATGAAACATGTACATAAATAAATAGTACCTTCAAAATGTAATATGTATTTGTTTCACTATGGGATAATTTCACTATAACTGGTCTTTCATATCATATTTCCAAATTATTCACTATTCTCTAATTTTGTTTTTAGTTTATATTCTATATTATAAATGAGCTATAATTTCTTAAGCTTAGTCCCTTCATTACGCTTATATTTTTCTGGGGTTTCCCCAGATAGTTTAACTCTACAGGGAACACATTTGTAACTGAATATTTGCTGACATGTGGAGATATTTAATTGACTTACATAACTTGTTCATGGATTGAAAAAACTAATATTGTTACAATAGTAAAAGCAATCTACAGATTTAATGCAGTTCATATGAAAATACCCATAATAGTTTTTACAGAAATAAACAATCCTAAAATTTGTGTGTAAAAGCAATCTCAATAAAAAAGAACTAACCTGAAACTATAACTTTCCTGGCCTCAGATTAGAATACAAAGCTATGATAATCAAAACAACATGGTAGCAGTACAAAAACAGACTCATTTATTGATGGAGCAGAAAAGTCAGAAGTAAACTCATGAATATATAATCAATCAATCTACAACAAAGGAGGTAAGAACATACAATGAGGAAAAGACAGTTCTTCAATAAGAGGTGCTGGAAAAACTGAACAGGTACAAGTAAAAGAATAAATTAGGACTCTTTTTCCTAGGAGAGAGCTTCCCCAATGGTTCAGTGGTAAAGAATCCACCTGCCAATGCAGGAAGTGTAGGAGACGTGGGTTCAACTCCTGGGTTGGGAAGATCCCTTGGAGAAGGAATTGGCAACCCACTCCAGTTATTCTTGCCTGAAAAATCCTATGGATACA